TATAAAAAATTGATCTGTTTGAGAAAAGACAGAATTGGCAAGATAGAATAGCTAACAGGTTTGAATGTGAACCTGATCATATTAAATTTAGAGATGACAATCTAGATCTCATGTGCCAAAACTTACAAAAACTTCTGACAAGAGAAACTAAAATTAAATGGGAGATCTTTACTATGGAAAAGTACTTAGAGAATAAAATCACCCCTAGAGGTTTACGGTTTTTTAAAACTCCCACATTTGATAGAAATGATGAAGAATTTATAGACATTTGGAATTCAGCACTTGAATCCTTCTCCATAAGAATGATGAAAATTTGCATCCAACAGAGAAGAAGAAATTTACAAAAATTAGATACTGAAATATCTGAAATAAAAGAAAAACTACAACCATTAAAAGGTTGTGAGGAAGTAGAAAAATCGCTAGAAACAATAAAGGATTATGTTGAAAAAATTGAACAAGAAACGGTGGTTATAAAAAAGAGGAAGTTCCTGAGAGATAAGAGCGACTATGCTCACAACAAGGTCCGCTCTTTCTCAAAGAAATTTCAACCACAGAGTAGATCACGCTCTAGGGATAGGATGGTACATTTTCAGAGGAAGGAATCCCCACAATCACATGTTCCATTTAATAAATATCCTGTGAGGAGACATAATGTGATAAAACATAAACAATTTCGTGACCAATATACACCAAATAAAAGACCCTACCAAGATAAGAACAGATCATATCAAAGGAGACAGGGTTCCCAATATGGGACTGAGTATAATTATACGAAGTTTACACATCAAAACAGATTTAGAACATTATCTGAAAATTCCCCAGGAGAGGTAAGAAATCCTATATCGTCACCTTTTTTGGGGCAGGGCCCTTTAAGGAGGGAGATGACGGGTTTTCCCCAAAAAAGGAGAAATCAGGAAACAGGAGAGGGAATAGAGCAGGAAGAATCCTGGAGAGAAAGGAAAAGGGGGAGGATACTAAATCAATAGGTATCTTTAACCTAACAGATATGATCCTTACAAAATCTCAAATTGAAGTTTTAAAAAAGGGATTCAAATTTGTTCCATCAGAATTTAATAAGCCATTTGACACATTTATCGATATAAACAAATTTACTCGGAAAATGTGTATTAAATTATTTTTTGACAAGATATCCCCTTTAGAGCCTCTAGAAGGCCCCCAAGAGTTCCATCATACTCAGCTTAACCCCTTAAGGACACAGCTTCAGAAGCTTGACTTACGCTTAATGACACAAGCAATTTTTGCATTTTCTTGCTGTTTGCGTTCAACTGCAATTTGCATCTCTCTCATTTATTGCACCGACACATATTATATACTGTTTTTTAAAGGACAGAAAGGGCTTTAATTTGATATAACATATATATATATAAATGCTTACTTATTATAAAAAAAATACAGAAAAATGCAAAAAAATGAAAAATATTGTTTTTTTTACAGTTTTTGCAATAATAATGTGTGCATAATTAGTGCAGGTTAAGGAAAGTAATTAAAAATAAATTTATTTATTTGTTCTGATTTACAGAATATATAATGTGTCTGGGATTTTAAGTTTTTTTTGGTAGTTACAAGTCACAAAGCACAAGGAGTAAAATAAACTTTTAATGTGGAGCGATTTTAGAATTTGGTATGTTTGTCTTGTAAGCTTAATAGCCATAAAAGAAAACAAAATTGCCACACAAAAGTATATATTTATATAAAGTAGACATCACGGGCTATTTACCTAAGGTTGTTTTGACACTTTCTACGTAGCCATATTACCGCCAACCTCTGCTAAATATTGGAGTAAAATTGTGTTCTTTTTGGTTTTTGGCACACAAACTTATAACAAAGAAATTCTCGTGTATATTTTGTAAAGTTGGTGTGTGCTATTCCTGTACAAAGTTTTATTTTGTGTTCAGTTACATCTGCTGAGTAAAATGACACCCCCATTGTATGTCTTTTGCACTATTTCGTGAAGTTACAGTGCCATACAGGATACCTGTCCTTTTCAGTATTCACAGTAGAATGTTGAGAGATGAATTTAATGAGCCTTAGCTTCCATTTGGGGTATTATAACAGTTTGACTGTTCAAAAAACCCCCACAAAGGCCTACCATTTGTAAAAGTAGACACTCCAGGGTATCTTATAAGGTGCATATTGTGCCTTAACATGCCCCCATTTTTTCACCAATATATGCCAAAGTATGTGGTAAAAAAAAATTTTGTGCATTTTTTACATACGGATTGCATTTTTGCTGGGCGTTTTGTATATTTCATATGTGCCACTAAGTTCAAACCCCCCAAATTATGCTCAGCTAAGTCTTCTGAGTAAAATGACACCCCATATGAATGTCTTTGGCACTATTTCGTGAAGCTACAGTGCCATATAGGAGACCTGTCCTTTACAGTATTCACAGTAGAATTTTGAGAGATGGATTTAATGAGCCTTAGCTTCCATTTGGGGTATTATAACAGTTTGACTGTTCAAAAAACCCCACAAAGGCCTACCATTTGTAAAAGTAGACACTCCAGGGTATCTCATAAGGTGCATATTGTGCCTTAACATACCCCCATTTTTTCACCAATATATGCCAAAGTATGTGGTAAAAAAATTATTTTGTGCATTTTTTACATACGGATTGCATTTTTGCTGGGCGTTTTGTATATTTCATATGTGCCACTAAGTTCAAACCTCCCAAATTATGCTCAGCTAAGTCTTTGGAGTAAAAATACACCCCCAATGAATGTCTTTGTCACTATTTTGTGAAGCTACAGTGCCATATAGGAGACCAAGCCATATCCGTTTTTACCAAACTTTGAATTTTGACGCTGGGCCTATGTGCAATTTCCAAGCATCTTCGCAGGTTTTAAATTCAATCTACCCCACAAAGGCCTACCATTTCTTAAAGTAGACACCCCAGGGTGTTTCAAAAGGTATAGTTTGAACCTTAGCGTGGGATCATTTTTCCGCTAGCTTGTACCAGATGTAGTGGTAATAAGCGTTTTTTCTGCCTTTTTGACATACAAAGTGAGTTTGCACAGTATATTTTGCAAACCTTATGTGTGCTACGACTGTATAATACTTCATATGTTGCTCAGCTATGTCGGCTGAGTACAGCAATACCCCCGTATGTACCTTTGCCAGGTATGTGTGGACATCGGAGGGGCACATTTGGGACACAGCCATTCCAGTTTTTTTCAAACTTTGAATTTTTATGCTGTGCCTATGTCCCATTTTAGAGTATTTTACCAGGCTATATAATCCAAATTCCCCATAAAGCCATACCATTTCTTAAAGAAGACATCCCAGGGTATTTCAAAAGGCATATTTTGAACCTTAGTGTGGGATCATTTTTCCGCTAGCTTGTACCAAGTGTAGTGGTAATAAGCATTTTTTCTGCCTTTTTGACATACAAAGTGAGTTTGCGCAGCATATTTTGCAAACCTTATGTGTACTATGACTGTATAATACTTCATATGTTGCTCAGCTATGTCGGCTGAGTACAGCAATACCCCCGTATGTACCTTTGCCAGGTATATGTGGATGTTGAAGGGGCGCATTTGAGATGCAGCCATTCAGTTTTTTTCTAACTTTGAAGTTTTACGCTGTGTCCATGTTCCAATTTGGAATAGTTTAGACGGTTGGTTATTGAAACTTCCCCACAAACACATACTATTTATTAAAGAATACACCCTGGGGTAATTCAAAAGGCATATTTTGAACCTTGGCGTGGGATAATTTTTTCTCTAGTTTGTTCCAGGTGTAGTGGTAATGAGCGTTTTTAAAATGTATTTTTTTACTTTTTATAACTTTTTTACTTTTAAAAACTAGTTTTTAAACTTTTGTTTTGCTTATAAATTTTTTTTAAACTTTCCTAAACTTTCTTAAAACTTTTTTACAGATTTAACATTTTTCTAAGCTATTTTTTTTACTGTTAACCCCTAACTAGCAGTACGCAGCACTAACAGTAAATTCCCCATTTTCCCATAACTCCCACCCACCCCAGCTAGCAAAATATATAGTTATAAAATATTTAAATTAATTAATTAAATAAATTGAACCCCTGAGGGTTAAAAAATAAATAAAAGTTAATCCTCAGGGGTTAAAAAAAATTAGATCACAGTATAATACTGTGATCTCTATTTGATCGCTGTAGGCAGTGATCGACTGGCAGGGAAGGGGTTAATTTTTATTTGGACTAGGTAAAGTGTGTTTTTTTGTTTTTATTACTTAAATGTTATTAAAACATTTTTTAAGCTTAATTTTTAACTTTTTAAAGTTTCTTTTAAAACTTTTTTTTAACGTTAACCCCTAGTTAGCCTAACGTCAAATCCCCCAATTCCCCACTAACTTCCACCTACCCCAGCTATCTAAATATATAATTTAAAAATAATTTAATTAATTAATTTAATTAATTTAACCCCTGAGGGTTAAAAAAAAAAAAATTAACCCTCAGGGGTTAAAAAAAAAAATCAGATCATAGTAAAATGTAATCCCTGCCAATTGATCACTGTAGTCAGTGATCAATTGGCAGGGAAGGGGTTAATTTTTTATTAAAATGGGTAAGGGGGGGGACACTTTAAATAAACTTTATTTTTTTTAACAGCAGGGGGCAGGATCAGCACTGATCCGGCTCCCTGCACTTCACACAGAACCCGGAAGTGCAGGGAGCCGGTAGGTAAGTATACAGAGCACATGTGCTCGCTCCGACTTGTGGTCAGAGCGAGCACATGTGCTGGGCAGCTTGACCGGGTGCTCCCGGTATGCCTCCAATGCAGAGGCATACCGGGAGCACCATTAACCCCGCGATCGCCGCGATAGCGGCGATCCGGGGTTAATTTTACCGCGTGACGGACGAGGTCCGTCACCCGTCGTTAAGGGTCTCCCCTGCGTGACGGACCTCGTCCGTCACCCGTCCTGAAGGGGTTAAGAAGACATCTGAAAAATATTTTTATAAACTTTAAATGTATTCAACGTGTTGTAGGAATGTAGAAATATTGTTAGTTATTATTCTAAGCATATCCAGACATCGAGAGGCCCCTACCCAGATAGATTACTATCATAATGTAATTTATACACATACTGTAATTTACACACATATGGTTTTAAGTCAAGAATGATGGATGGAGACTTGTGGATCCTGTTGATAATAACCTTTGACCTAGCCTTGTAAGCCTGAATTCCTGTGAAAGGTTCACATTTCTATAGGCAATCATTCATTCATTCATTTAATTAGAAGTCTCAAGAAGGTCTTTGTGTGTAACTTACCAAAACATCATAACGTATGGCTTTAATCATAGATATCGAATAATACTAAGTTACCACCTATTTTTTCTTAGATAACCAATTATTGTAAAGCAGGCAAACCTTATGTCATTATGTATACGCCCTATGTAATTGAATTTTAAATGTATATAATCCATTGCAGCTAGAATACCAATACCAATAGAATACCAATACCTTTTAACATCAAGCTTGGATAAGATCTAGAAGTGAATATACATTGTCTATTGGTCCATATGATTTTAAACCAGACTTTTGTTGTTACCGGATGATGTGTATATTGTAATAAATATACGGTTTTAACTGCAAGACACTCTGATTCGATTTGTTCAGAAAACTGGAAAACAAATATCTCACGGAATGCAAATTTCCTACATTTAATGGTGGAGAATGCGGGCAACTTGGATTTAAGTCAGAAGGCAACTTTGAGTTAAGTCTGAATTATTACTGACCTAATATTTAAGTGTTCTGCTACAAACTACAAGAAGACAAGAAGATAAGAAAATCGCTGAAGAAAAGTTGAAATTGTTCTCTGAAGAAAAGCTGTATTACCCGGCTTGAAACAGGAGAAAAACAAGAGACTAATTGACACAGCAGGATTGCATCCCAAAGATTCTTTGTTTAAACATCCCAGGTCTGATGCGAAGACGGAGGTGAGGCAGGGTGAGAAAGTCGTTCGAACGCGGCAGATGTTTATGTTCAGTACTGAAGCAAGAATTTGAAGATAAATAATTGAGATGGACAATCCGGGTCCTTTCTATCCACACTTTATCAAGTAATTTGTGACGACTTGCAGATCGAAGATTGCATTTCGGAGGATTCTCAAGAATAACTACATATTCCAGAAAGTATTCTTCTATCAGAAAGTGGCCATATCTGTGGAACCAGAGTACTTAATGGGTATGTGTCTTGTCTTAAATCATATGTAAAAAGTGCTCTCATATATATATTATTTGTTAAACAAAGTGTTTCAACTGTTTAAGTTAATTATGGAGTGGCTGCAAAGGATTGCTGCCAGATCTAATAGAGATCTTTCTGTAAAAGGTGTTAATCCTGAAAGTATATGGGATGACTGTTTATTGAAATTGATAGACGGATTAAGTGAGATAGAGCACAGCAATGTATTTAAAAAGGAAAGCCAAAAAGTTGCATTACTGGCAAAGAGCTTTTTGGAAACTAATGATGCAATGAATGAATGGTGTCAACTTAAAAAGACCAGTAATTGTTATGTATGTAGTACAACAAAACAAAAAAGGGATGTTTTTTTAAAACAACTGAAAAATGTATGTGTTGTCACAAGGACTAGTTATTTCCCTAGCCCCCCCAGCAAAACTGTGAAATCTCCACAAAAGCTGTTAACAGAAGGGAGATTGCCCCCAAGGCTCTCTTTTGATAGTGACTTGGAATCCACGTTAACTGAAACAAAAACTCAAATAGAAAATTCTCGGCAATTGTTGAAAAGTTTTAGTAGGGATCAAGAAAATGAAGATATTAATATAATGAAAGAAATGCTTAGAAATCAGACTGATTTGTTGGATAGAACCCATAAAACCCTGTCTCACATGTCTAAAGAATTAGTCATAAATGTTACTAATTTTGACAATTTGCAGAGACAGATTACTAATCTGGGTAGTGCTACAGATATTTTGTGGAAAGCTACAAATCAGAAAGATTTGGATTTTACTTTGAAAGAGGAAAGTGAAAATGAAATAGCTCAAAGGTTAAGTTGTGAAAACGGGCAGGCGAGAAGTGAAATAGAAAATAAATTGGGAAATGTACAAGGAAAGGGTCAGTTGGATATTCTCAAATTAGCTAAATTGATTAAGGATTTGCCTAAATATGATGAAAAGAGAGGACCTTTTTACAATATGAGTGTTTTTGAAGGTGAAATGAATAAAAGACAATTTGATGATGTGGTAGCCACAAGAGGTCTTTTGATCTGGCTGCCAACTTCATTAAGTGAATGGGTTAAAGTTAAACTCATTGATGTGTTGGAAGGGAAGTCAAGTGAAAAGCCCCGAGTTGAGTTGGAGGAATTGTTTCCAAATAATACACAGAGATTGCTAATGGTGGTACAGTGTGCAACTGGTGTGGAGAATTTTCAATTTTCTACTCTTGATTCATTTAAAATGGAGAAAAATGATGATATATGTGTTTGTGCTAATTTGTGGAATAAGGCATGGAATTTGATTACTGATACAGAACCATCTGCTATGTCTAAAGAACAACATAAGCAGAGTGTTACTGAATTTGTCTCTAGAATAGCAGGGTTGCCAAATGAGATAAAATTAAGAGCTTTTGATTCACCCACAGTTGATTTTGCTGCTACAGAAATAATGAAATCTTTGCAATTGTTGCAAAAGAAAAACACAGAAACAGCTAAGATTTTTGCTTTCACAGACACAATTTTCTCTAGGGATACTTCAGCAGGTCTGGCCCCTATTAACTATGTGTCTCGTGAAGAAGGTAGAGGAAGATATGAAAATAATAATAGAAATGGTAATTTTAGAGGGAGGTCTATGAATAAACCACAAAATTACCAGGGTACTAGAAATTATTCGGCCCCATCCCAAGATAGATATTATAGGGTTAGTCAGAATAGTCCTATGATATGCTATAAATGCAACCAAGAAGGTCATGTTAGGAGATATTGTCCCAAAAATGAAGAAACAATCTTACACAGTGAAAGGGAAAGAAAATGGCATTGTGCCAGGCTATAAGAATCTACAGAGAGTGGCAGCTGTAGAAACCGAAAATACATCTTCAAACCCCCCTCAAATATCAAATCCATATGAAGAGTGTAGACGGATGTTAAATGCCATTGAAATGAAGGTGGAAGCAGTCACAAGTCCACAAGTGAATTCTGCTTACCACACTAATAAATAGGGATGTGTAACCCCTAGTTGTTCTCTGGTCTATCTCACTGATATTACTCTGGGTGAAGATGGAAGGCCATATATTTATGGAACACTAGAGGGGAATATAACAGAGTTTTTAGTAGACACAGGAGCTGCAGTGTCTTTAACCAACAAAAGCTTGCCTTTAAAAATTGAAGCACCAACAATTTCCCTTCTAAGTTTTAATGGAGCACATGCCCATGCAACTCTATCCACTGATAATTACATCAAATTTGAAGGAGGTAAAATAAATTGTGACTTATGGGTCGACCTCTCATCCCACTGTACTATTTTGGGGATGGATGTTATCAATGGAAAAAAGTTGTATGTGGATTTATTGAATTTGGTTTTGTGGCAAGCTCCAGGTGAGAGCAAATCAGGTGGAGTGGTTAGACCTAATGATTTAGGATGGTATAGTCATGTCATGTCTGTAAAACAGGGTGAAGTGTCATCTTCTATACAAGATGATGATTTTGTAACCTATCTTAAAGAAAAATACCCCACAGTATGGTCTAAATCTAAACAAGATTGTGGGAGAATGAATTTACAAGTTGTCATTGAAGGACCAGACCCTCCTGCAGTAAAACAATATAAAATTCCAAAAGAATCAGAAGAAGGTGTGAGTCAAGTGATAGAGGCATTGATATCTCAAGGAGTGCTGAGAGTGGGTAATTCCAAATGTAATTCCCCTATTTGGCCAATAATCAAGCCAGATGGCTCTTATCGTTTAATTGTGGACATGCGAGTGGTGAATAAGTATACCCCACCAGCAGCCCATATAGTGGCCTCCTCACCAGATATCATGGCACAAGTAGACGCCAATGCTAAGTATTTTTCTGTTCTGGATATAGCCAATGGGTTTTTCTCAATACCAGTACACCCAGATAGTCAGTATCGTTTTGCTTTTACCTTTAAAAATCATCAATATCTGTTCCAGGTGCTGCCACAGGGCTTCCACTCCTCACCAGCTTATTTTCATAAAGCACTGGCTCAAGTATTGGAACCCCTGGGGTATGGGAGCAAGATTTTGCAATATGTTGATGATCTGTTGGTTCAAACAGTAACAAGGGAAGAGCATGAGCAGATACTGTGTGATATTTGTCAAGCACTGGCAGATAATGGGTTAAAACTGAACACATTCAAAGTGCAGATCTTGAAAGAAAGCGTGGCTTTCTTAGGAGTAAATATAGATCCAGCAGGTAAAACACCAAGAACAGCAAGGGTTAAAGCGTTACAGCAATTGCCAAGGCCAATGACAGTGTCTGATCTAAGGAAATTTTTAGGTTTGGTAAATTTTAGCAGAGAATTCATCTATGATATGGCAGGAATAGCAAAACCCCTGTACAATATGCTAAAAGATAGTGCTAATACAGATAAGCTACTCTGGACAGAGGAAGCTGAAAAGAGTTGGAACCTGTTAAAAGATGCTCTTACACAAGCGCCTGTGTTAGCTGCTCCCATTGAAACAGTACCATATATTGTTCAATGTTACGCAGGTGTCTCTTCATTAATAGCAGTTTTGATGCAAAGGCAACATGGCTCCTTACGAATACTGGGATATTTTTCTAAAGTCATGTCTCCAGTGGAAAGGGGAATGTTTTCCTGTGTAAAACAGCTTTTGGCTGTATGTTGGGCTTTAGAAGCAACACAACACATTGTAGGATTTGGACAGCTAATTTTACAAACCCCCCACACACCTTTAAAACTGTTACACAATTGTTCTGATTTAGGAGTACATAGCCAGAGGGTAGCTCATTGGATATTGAAGTTACAAGATAAACCACTCAAGGTAGAAAGCAGTAAGAGATATGTTATTCCTGAGTTGATAGAGATAAGTGGAACACCTCATGATTGTCAAAAGAATTAGAAATTGAATCTAAATCTCCTTTTGAGAAACAAGCAATACAAGGGGCTCCTTGTTTGTATGTGGATGGAACAAGATTTTATGCTGATGGATCACATCACACAGGTTATGCCATTTATGATGATCATACAAAAGAAATGCAGAGATTTAAATTGCCAGGCCATATGTCTGCTCAGAGAGCTGAGTTAGAGGCTGTAAGGAAAGCTCTTGAAATAACAGCATATGACCCAGTGAATATAATCAGTGACAGCAGCTATGTAGTTAAAGCTTTAACACTTCATCTCCCAATATGGAGAAAACGGGGGATGGTAGATTCACAGGACAAAGCTTTAAAACATGCAGGTATTTTGGCAGAACTGTTTGACTATGCAGAAAAAAAGGGTTTAACTTGTGCTGTTGTTAAAGTTCAAGCACATCAAAACAGGAAAAATGGGGATGAAATGGCAGAAGGAAACAGACTTGTAGATCAGGGAGCAAAGGAAGCTGCTTTAATAGGAGAGTTGCAATACTCAGAAAATGTAATGATTGCAACTGTGAGTAAAAGACCAATATCAAATCCCCTACAAGATCTGAAAGAAAATCAGAGTAAAGATGTAGCTTTCAGTAGAGAAACAATGGATTTAGATACTGAAACTGGCTTGTACGGGATTAAACATGAGGAAACACAAACGTTTGTACCATTTGTACCTAGTGATATATTACAGGAGTTGATTGTATTCAATCATCGTACACTGGGGCATTTGGGTACAGAAAAACTGTTTAAGGTCCTGCAAAATAAATTTTATCATCCTAATTTGAAACAATGGTGTACAAACATAGTGCAGGAGTGTCTCATATGTGCTCAATTTAATCCCAGACCTAAAGGTCAGAAACCAAAATTAAAGAGAGTACCTTTGGCAAAAGGACCATGGGACTCTATACAAATTGATTTTATTGGACCATTACCTATAGCTCCAGGAGGACTAAAGTACGGATTGGTAATTGTTGATATATTCTCCAAATGGGTGGATTGTATAGCTCTTACCAATTGTACAGCGTTAACAACATGTAAGGCGCTATGGAAATATGTATTTTCTGTATGGGGTTTTCCCAGAATCATTGAATCTGACAATGGTCCACACTTCATTGGAGAAGTACTTAAAGAGATGTGTAAATTGTTGGGGATCCAACAAAGATTTCATGTCCCATATCATCCACAGTCGGCTGGCATAGTGGAAAGAATGAATAGGACACTGAAATCTAGATTGAAAAAAATGCTTGAAGATAAAGGGAGTAGTTGGGTAACACACTTACCAGGAGTTTTAATGTCTATTCGTGCAACTCCAAACTCCAAAACGCAAGTGTCACCTCATGAGTTAATGACAGGCAGAACCATGCCAATTACTTTCCCCAATGAACCTTTTGTTCCAAGTACTTTCAAATTTGCTGCAGAACATGCTGAATGGTTAAAAGTATTACAAGAACAGCTGCAGTCAGTTTTGAAGTTTGCTGCTTTGAATATGGCCCCTTCTGGTAAACAATGGGTTAAAGATGTAACTCAGGGGAATTATGCAGATAAGTTTAAACCAGGATACAAAGTGATGGTAAAATCATTTAGAACACCAGGTCCCTGGCAGGCAGGTTGGGAAGGACCTTATATTATTCTAAAGAAATTAGGACAAACTGTCTTACAGGTTCAAAGAGCAAAAGTTGGTAGGAAATGTAATAAAGCAATTCTTGTGCATATTGATCAATGTAAACTCACTAATGTATAAGAATAGTAAACTGCCATCTGTTTTTCATTACAGAATCAATAATGTTTGTTCATGGACAAAGACTGTTTAATTTTAAAAAGGACAAATTGTTTGGACTATCAAAAGACACTATGGACAAAAAGACTGCTCTCATGAATGCGATTGGAGAGGACATTACTTCACGGACTAAATCAAACCGATTGGGGTTTCTTGATAATGTAACCTTTATAAAATTGCATAGCATCATACTGTTTTTAATCATGATGATGTTAGGTACAATCAATGCCCAAGGTACAGGTACTCCAGATTGTGATATTAGAGATACTTTTTCTAAATGTACAGCATTCCCCTATGAGTGTAAAGTGAGATATTGTAAGACTCCTGATGTTGATTATTGTGGATGCATTAATGTAGACACATCTGAGGATGCAATATCCGGTGCGCTCATATTCCATGATAACCAAGAACCATGTATGACATATCTATCAGTTGACGGACGAATTGATTTAATCATTAATATTACCAAGGATCGGACATATATAATGCAAAATAATACGGAGAGTAGGTGTGTGGTACCTACTGGTATAGACAACACCCTTACCCTTACTATGTTTAATGTGAGAAGTGTTAACGATGATGGGTTAATTTGCTACATGTACTTAATAGATACACTTGTTAATCCTTACACAAATACTAAAGTAAAAGTACTCGAACAAACACAAGACAGCTCATTTACCTATCAAAACCCAGCTAAATGTGCAGGCCAAGTCACTATGTGGCCTTGGCATCCAAAATCAAGAAAACCTTCATGGTTATGGACACCTATTTTTGTTATGAGAAATATAATAAATAGGAATGGAAACACTGTTTCTCTTTCATATGCATTCACAATCACAACATTTCATGATAATTGGACTCCAGAACAAAGAATAACAGATGATTGTAATCTTGTAGAAGAGGAAGGAAAAGATCCCATTAGAATATACAAAGATGATGATCACAAAGTCTTATTTGGGGCTTCATTTAGTATATACACATATTCATTGAACATGTCAGAATGGGACATTACACGTACATTCCCACAATGTCAGGAATATACAGTAGGAATACAACAAGATTTCTATTATTGGTTAAAACAAGACACCACTTTCTCAAGACCAGTGAATACACGAAGAAAACGTGAGTGGTATAACACAGTATTAGGTGGTTTAGGTGTAGGAGCAAGTATGATAAATGGAGTAAATATAGAATCATTAGCAGCTAGAATGAGTACACTAGCAGCTGCAGGTAGCAAATCACAGGATGCTTCATTGTTATTATCTAAGATACAAATGCAAACAGTTATCAACAACTACAGAACAGACATTTCCATTATTAAGAATCTCATTAATAAAAAGTATAATATCAGTGTAGGAATGGAAAAGATTGCAAGTGATACCTCTTTAGCCTTAGGATGTATAGCTTTACAAATGGACATCAATACTAATGCAAAAATATTTCTGCAAGCTCTTTTTAACCATCAATGGCCTTATGAAGTCCCTCTTGAAGTGCCTAAAATAAGTTTTTACTACAGAGCTTTTTGGCATACACAATGGTTAGGATGTCTGGAAGACACAATAGAAAAATTGTGCTTTTGCTATTTTTCTCCCTACTAGAGGAGTTAATTACAACAGATTCAAGTATATTGATTTGGGTAAAATAGTGAATTCTAAATGGATAAAAATGGATAATAAGCAAAATGATAAAATCCTAGTGGGAGTAAAAACTGTAGAATACATGCTGAATACAGAAAATTGTTTGTTAAACGATGGTGATTATGTCTGCCCTTATGGTGTTAATGTTCTAGAAGAGGTATCATGGTGCTGGGAGAATAATGACACATGTCAAATGAAATTAAATAAAATACCAATTCAACCAGCATGGACATACAATAAAGGCATGATATGTTGGCATCAAATAGAAGGAAAAACAGAAATACATGAGAAAAATTGTTCTGAGACAGTAAGCTTAGCACCAGGTAGTTATTGTACAAAGAGACCTGCTTTGTCAGTAACCACCAAGGATATAAGGGGTAAATATTATGATATAATACCACCCATACTAAAAAGGACTGATTCAATTATGAAATATGATCAACGTACTTTATATAATGTAAACATAGGTTACGGAGTTGATTTCTATAAGCAGTTAAAGAACAATGAAGAGTTATTACAAGTTATTGATAAAGCTGCGACTGGAGTACATAACACTTTAGTACAAATACATACAGTGCAAGGTATGATTAAAAGCATTAAACATGATTATATCGAAGAAACCACATCCTGGTGGCAACGGTGGTTTGGTGGACAAAAGAAAGGATTAGTTATGGGTATGACACACTTCATAACTCATCCTTTGGTAATTTTGATAATTATTACTATGGTTTTATTCTTCTTTAGTTGTTATATGTCTAAAAGAATCAATCGTTTACGGTCTTAACTGATGGATGTGGAATACAAATGTAAATTCCTGACTACAAAATTAAAGTTTTACAAGGAAATGGAATAAATTATGATGCATTATATTTACATAAAAAGCATCAAAGGGGAACTTGAAAAATATTTTTATAAACTTTAAATGTATTCAACGTGTTGTAGGAATGTAGAAATATTGTAAGTTATTATTCTAAGCATATCCAGACATCGAGAGGCCCCTACCCAGATAGATTACTATCATAATGTAATTTATACACATACTGTAATTTACACACATATGGTTTTAAGTCAAGAATGATGGATGGAGACTTGTGGATCCTGTTGATAATAACCTTTGACCTAGCCTTGTAAGCCTGAATTCCTGTGAAAGGTTCACATTTCTATAGGCAATCATTCATTCATTCATTTAATTAGAAGTCTCAAGAAGGTCTTTGTGTGTAACTTACCAAAACATCATAACGTATGGCTTTAATCATAGATATCGAATAATACTAAGTTACCACCTATTTTTTCTTAGATAACCAATTATTGTAAAGCAGGCAAACCTTATGTCATTATGTATACGCCCCATGTAATTGAATTTTAAATGTATATAATCCATTGCAGCTAGAATACCAATACCAATAGAATACCAATACCTTTTAACATCAAGCTTGGATAAGATCTAGAAGTGAATATACATTGTCTATTGGTCCATATGATTTTAAACCAGACTTTTGTTGTTACCGGATGATGTGTATATTGTAATAAATATACGGTTTTAACTGCAAGACACTCTGATTCGATTTGTTCAGAAAACTGGAAAACAAATATCTCACGGAATGCAAATTTCCTACAACATCCACATTCTTTCCTAGACACCTAATAAATGGGGGAATGAAGGTATTTGAGCGTCTAGTGATGGATGACGTGAGAAATTTAAATAATAATAGTAAGAGGAAATATAAAAGGGATAATTTGGATTTCTATCAAAGGAAAGCGTTAAAGGAACTTCAGACAAATAAAGAAATAATTATAAAACCCGCCGACAAAGGGGGTGGGGTGGTTATACAAAGTAGAGATCAATATATGAAGGAAATCTATAGGCAATTGGACGACCAAAGTACATATAAAGAACTAAAAAGTGACCCCATTGGACAGATTAAAAAAGAATATGCATCCCTTTTGGGCAGGGGTAGGGTACTGGGGATCCTAAATACGGACGAGTTCCAATATTTGGACTCTGTCATAGGTAGGACCCCGGTATTTTACACCCTGCCAAAGATACATAAAAGTGAGGAGAACCCGCCAGGCAGGCCTATAGTGTCAGGGGTGGGGTCGCTTTTGAGTAATTTGTCAGAATATATAGACAAACAACTACAACCCTTGGTGGTTGTACAACCATCCTACCTGCGCGACTCTATGTCACTGTTGGACCCCCTTAAAGAGATCAGATGGGATAATAATATGCTATTGGTGACTTGTGACGTTTCAAGTCTATATACAAGTATACCACACTTGTCTGGCTGTGAAGCAATTGAATATTTCCTTAAAAATCAGAGTGAATTGAAAGAATTGCAGGTTAAATTTATCCTAGACGGAATTCGACTTATCCTCTGTAATAACTACTTTTGGTTTGACCACAAATTTTTCTTGCAACTTAAGGGGACTTCGATGGGGACCAGGTTCGCGCCCAGCTACGCAAACTTATTTATGGCGCATTGGGAAAACCCGTTTTTAACGGAGGAAGGTAGCTGGGCGCGTAACCTGGTCCTTTATCGTCGTTTTATAGACGATATTTTTTTCATCTGGCGCTGAGATGTAGAATCACTGCGGCCATTTTTGGAATTCTTGAACCTTCAGCATCCAGACATTAAATTGACAAGTGAGTATAGTGCATCCAATATTAACTTCCTGGACTTGAATATCTATGTAGACAATGAAGGGATTAAGACCAAGACTTTCTTTAAGAAGGTCGACGTCAATGGTTACATAGAAACGTCCAGTTGCCACTATGAATCCTGGTTACGAAGCATTCCTAAGGGCCAGTTCCTTAGGCTGTTTAGGAACTGTAGTGATGCTGAAGTGTTTGAGGAACAGGCAGTTTGCTTGAAGGACAGGTTTGTAGAGAAGAAATATGACGCCAAGGAATTGGATAGTTGTATTAATTCCATTAAGAAGATGGACCGAAGTAAGGTTCTGAAGAAAAGGATACCTAGGGAGGAGAAGAAGGGTGCAGACCAGGTACCAATTATTTTGAATTATAGTGAAGATGCCAAGCAAATTAAGCATATTATTAATAGACACTGGCGTATCCTTAAACTAGATCCGAATCTGAGGGAAATTATTGGTGATAGGCCACGTATTATTTATAGAGGGGCAAAAAACTTAAAACAACATCTAACTACAAGTTTTATTAGGGATAAAGGGGAAGAGAAAAACTTCTTTGGACTAGAAAAGGGTTTTTATCCCTGCAAATCCTGTCTAGCCTGTAAGAGAACAATATTTGATAAACATAAACAGACAGAATTTACCTCTCACTCCACTAATCGCACATTTAAAATTCATCAGGTTCTAACCTGTAATTCCACTAATGTCATATACCTCCTCTGGTGCCCATGTGGTCTGCAATACATTGGAATGACCACCAGGGCATTTAAAACCAGGGTTGCGGAGCATGTGGGTAATATCCAGAGGGGGTATATGAAACATAGTGTATCGGCACACTTCACTGAGAAACATGGTGGGGATTCCTCCCTACTGTCATATATTGTTATTTTTAAGAAATTTAAGAATTGGAGGGGAGATAATAATGTTAAAGAGCTAGCGAAGATAGAGGGTAAGTGGATTTTCGATGTTAATACCCTATCCCCGAAGGGATTGAATTTAGATTTTGAGTTTATACATTTTTTATAGGATCTATATATTGTTTATAGTATTTACTTTATTTGAACTATTAGGTTTAGAAGGTTATACTTGCTTCTTGTCTAATTGGTATTTATGTGGGGAGTTCTATGGCCACATATTGCATTGTATAATTTTTCTAAGAATAGATTATCTTATACATCCTTAAATTTCTCTCTAGATATAAAGAGATTGATGAGAGTTATCAAATATCTGTATTGTGTATGCTATATATAGATTATATCTTTAATTTGTGTTTTTTCTTATTCTATTATGATATTTTGCAAATATGGAGGCTAAGGTTGCTATGGGGACTTAATCATAACAATCTACATCCTGAACGCCGCGTTTCAGCGTGCGTTCCAGCCGGCCGAAAAACCGGAAGTGACGTCACCCGCGAAACCGGAAGTGACGCGACGCCGGTACGAAATTGGATCCAGGTGAATGGGACAGATAAGACTTATAAAAGAAGACTCAATAGGACATGAAGACAAGCACTGGAGGAAGGCTGTTGGCCGAAACGCGTCTGCTTCAATCTTCTGCATTTGTATTTGTTATTTTATGTGTATTTCTGTCACTCTGGGCTACTATACAGATAGGGGTAAGTGGAATTCCATTATTGTTTTATATATATCCTTGTCTGTTTTGGGTTCCACCCCCATAGTGCCCAGCAGTGTATACACTTTTTAATATATTTTTATAAATAAATATATTTTATATTTAACCTTTGGAGTCTCATCTATTTGGACCACCTGGATCGTTAGCCAGTTATTGGCACCCCTGAGCCTGCTATACAGAGCCTGGTACGGCTCTGGAGAATGTGAGTGAGAGTCACATACCTATTTATTACTTATTTATTATCATACAGTTTGCACTATGTTTTTTATGTTTTTTCTATTTTAGTTTATACCCCAATCAAGTTCTACGCTGTTTACATTACAGTCCAGTTCTATATTGGTAATATCACTTATTTTTGTTGTGATCACATTGGGGAGGTGTATATACTGGTATTTGTCTCTTTTTATTGTATTGTGTAAATCTGGTGTATAAGGGAAGCACTAGGGTACCGGTTACACCATCTATTGTATACTTTATACTATATACAGAATTGTCAAAATTACAGTGAAGCGCCTACGCACTATCCTTCTTTTTTTCTAAGCAAGTTTAGTCAGAGGGTTGTGATTGGTTGGCTTGCAAGCCAAACAATCAGAACTGTGACTGATATTATATTGTGTGGGAAAAGCCTTAAAGGGATACTATAGATTTAATATGTCGCAACCTCCCTCTCACCCCCTTTCCACAAAGCTGAAGGGGTTAAAACCCCTTTAGGCATTTACTTGAATCCAGCACTGATGTCCCTCAGCGCTGGGTCAGGCTCAGCCCATGCTCCTCCCCAGCCGATGTCAGCCGGCGGGGGTGAACTAATGCACATGCGCAACAATCGCAGCACGCATTTGACCGCTTTCCTATGGGGAAAATCTGACGCTGGAGGTCCTCATGCAGAGTGTGAGGACATCCAGCGTCAGATAATGGACCAACAGTCCATTTGGATTCTGGAAACGCCCCGGTGACTGTCTGGTAGGCAGCCACTAAGGGCAGACTTAGAGCTGCAAGGTAAACAATGCAGTTCTCTGGAACCGCAATGTTTTACAATGCAGTACTAAGTGCAATAGGGACAAAGCACCCAGACAACTTCTATTAGCTGAAGTGTTCTGGGTGCCTACAGTGTATTGGGCTGCCAATTGTAATTTTTATCTAAAAAAAAATCTCAAATCTACTATTTTAACTCAATCAGTGATGAGGTTATATTTGTCTGTTTTATTAAATCCTATTTATGTATTCCTCTTCTGCGGGTTCCAAAAAAAGCCTAGGGTCAATACTGTTTAAGAATAATTGCCTAACAGAGTGTATTCTGCAGATTATTTTCATTTATTAAAGCAGCAGGCGCTTAGTACTCTATCAGCCGTTATAGGTGTTTTGGTAATATCCAAAACATCTGCCGTTATGGTGTACCATTCTATACAGTTATTATACTGAGGCTGTTATGGCTTTCTAGTGCAGATACTATTTTTTGGTTTCTGCACAATATGCAGACCATTTCCGTGCTCCTTTTGTGAAGCACTGTATCAATAGACAATTCACATCATTCATGCTCATCTCACTATCAACAAGCATGTCTGATGAGGGACTGACCACGGATGTTTAGCTTTTTGTTTGACAATTACAATATATCCACTATTCTCATCATGTGTTTATAGCTATTCTATATCACTGCAAAATTGCTTTTTGCAGATAACAGTCAGTGGAGGACACTGAAAACATCTGAACAGTACCTCCTTATTGATCACAATTATGTTGAGTCACATCTCATGTATTTTGAGGCATTACTAGACAGCAGTAGAGGTTTAACCCTTTGAGCGACTACTGGACTTTTTGTTAACTGTTACTTTTAGCTCCTCTTCAGACTGTTGCTCTTACCAACATACATTGTAGCAACTAAGTGTTACTTTTGCTACTTTTGTGTCTACCTTAACTACAGAGAGATGTGTTACTATTAGCTCCTCACTCTGGGTCAAGTCCACAGATACCAATCTAAATTCTGAACTTCTACCTACTAGGCATATTAGACTTTGGTAAATATATACATTGTTTATATTATCTATTTTCCAGCCTAGTGCTAATTATTTTACATTTTTGAGTATTTACTCACATTTGGATACCTATTTATCCATTTTAACTATATTATTAAAGGTTACATTTTATCCAATTAGGGCACTCAGCTCTTTTCTCTCTTTCTTTTTTACTACTTTGGTAGTTCATTATGGGTTAACCCCTATATGAGTGCATTTCCTAAGCTTCCATTTTTTCTATTTTTTTCATTATTTAAAGCTATTTAATAAAATATTTTTCTTCTATTTGTGTTATTTTGTGTTTTTTTTGTTATTTTTTTTTT